CCACACACACACAAACCAGTGTTGGTGCACGTTGTAGACTTTAATCCGCTTGCTAGATCGTTTACGGGGTCTTTACACAATCAACTTTTATTTCTTCCAAGCTCTGCGTCTGCTGAAAATTATACCCTTTCCTCTGAGGTTCCTTAATAACTCTCCGAGGCTCTGCATTCTGGTCACCCCAAAATGCTTTTAGACGCCCTGTTTTGAAGTGTAACGTCTTTGTTCATGCAAATGTTACAGTTCTGTTTTCGTTCTCTGAAACAAACACAAAAATGCAGTTTCGTGTTTCCAACTTGTGTATGATTGGTTAAAATGAGCAGCAACTTTGTCTTTGGTCTGTTGTTGATCGGACAAAAGTGTCGACTACGTCTTCAAACAATTAATTCAAGCCTGAACAAGACACTACAACGTTTGACTAAATGTTTACTTTTTCGCTGAAACGTTTTTGTTGACTGAACATGGGTTTTTTTTAGTCTCCAAAGCTATTGTTATCCATTCCGTATCCACTGGTCAATATAATATATTCTCAGACTTCAAAAGCGAGTGGTTTGAGGTCGCTACTGCTAGGTCCAACTTCTTTACTTTCCCTCTGTTGTCCCCAGCATTAAATTACCACTATTGTGTCGATGTGCTTCTCTTCACTTGAACAAACAAACAAACAAGACTTGAAAAAGTGACCACCTCCCATTCTTCCCACTATAAATTTCCCAAGTTTGACATGGTCTCAGTTTACCTTTACATGCTCTCCTGGTCTGCCGTCTTTGGGTCATGTTTCAATCTTTCAATCATTCAGGATTCAGTTGTTCAGCCAATCTTTTAAACATTAATTTGTTTACCCATCCATTTCGCCACTGACTTAAACAGCATCCAAATGTAGCGAGCTTGTGCCTCTATAAATAAATGATTCATGGTTCCTTTCGGTCAGATAGTCAGCATTACTCAGGCTTTCAATCCAACAATTCGTGATTTTGGCTTTTGATTCATTGACATGAATAGGTTTGGGGCTTTGAGAGTGTGTCTGAGCACACGTGAATAAGGTGCCCCCACCCCCCCAATTTTCTTCTTTCCGCCTTCCCCCCTTTTCACCTCTTACACCCCAGGCAGCCCTAGCTCCCTTAACAACAAAAACCCGCATTCACACACTCCATGCACACTTCATAACAATCGATTTTAAAAACCCCGCAGAGTTCTGTATCGATTTCTTGAGAAATTTCTGATTGTTCACTTTGAGGCCGCTCCAAATGGCATTAAAAAATAATGCCACCTCTCTCGTTCACAGTAGTTCAAGGGTTGACGCCAAACAATTAATTAATGAATTACTTTTGATGATTAAATCTCTGGTGGATAACAATCTTTTTCTCCCTTTATCTATGACGTTTTGCTTCTCTTCATTTTTATCCTTTATCTATGACGTTTTGATTCTCTTATCGTGCTGCCCCTCCTTCTTATTGTTACACTCCCTTTTCTTTCTAAAGGAGTCTCTTCTTTCATTTTCGTTTTTTGTTCTTGTTTTGTTGGGGATTTGTGTGTGTGTGTGTGTGTGTGTGTGTGT